GCATATATTTATTAACATATATCAAATTTTTTAATAATCTAAAGCTGATTAACTAGTACGGTATTTAGACTTAGAAACATTACACTAAAAAAATTTTTAAATGTCCGTGTTAATTTGTCAGTGCAAACATGTCGGTCAAATGGCGTATATGACAAATTGGTATAAATTGAATCCCAAAACTGCACGTGGACTTGTATTAATAATTGCTCAATCGAGTAAAGTGATCAAGATAACCGCAGGAAAGTTATTGCCACTCTCTATTGCAACTTTTGGAGATGTAAGTGATGTGTATATAAATATCATCTTCACTATACTCATCGCTTAAAAATTATAACTAACTCATACATCAAGACAGAAATTTTTCACATTTATTACTATACTTTCACTGCTATTCATTATATTATAAAGTATATAATAAATGGTCTACAATAAATTTGATTCATTAATTTAACACTAAGAATTTTGATATAATTTGCTTCACTGTAATTCTCGGTAATCCAACATTTTCATTTTATCGTATATAGAAAAGGATACATTCTTCTTTGCAGGTACTTAGAACTTCCGTAGTATATTTGAATATATTGCGGACAATGACTATGTAAAATATAACAAATTATTGAGAAAATGAGCAAAATATATTTTATAACAGAAAACAAATAAATATATTTTGAAGATGCAATGAATATTAATAAATAAAATTAAAAGCCATCATCGAAAAATATTTTCATACACTAAATATTTTTTCAAGAAACCCTGCGATATATTTAATGAATATTTAACGAATATAGTAAGACATCTGGTAAAATAATAATATATAATAAAATCGACATATGCTTAACGTCGCTTATCCAAATCACACAAACAGGACACGCGACGTACTCTCGACTAAAAATGTAATCTCTTAGCGACAAACGACTATCGATCGGACGTGCATTCGTTGTCTCAGGAAAAAGAAATGACGCAGGCGCTTGTCCGAATTCAACCATGTTCATAATATACCACCCTACTTCAGCACCGCCCGCGGCGGTAGTGCATTGAGTGCTTTCGCAACGTGATCATGTCAGACAAAGGTGTATTAAGAAGTATCGAATTCAAAAACGATCACAATTACAGTCTTCAACTAAATCGATGGTACCTCAAACCGATAGGCGCTTGGCCATTGACCGGCGCGACAAACGTAGCTGTTAGGGTCATCGTGTTATTACAGAATTTTATTTGTTGGTCTATAGTGTGTTTTATTATGATACCCTGTTTCCTATATATGGTACTCGAGGCAGAGGACATCCAGTCGAAGCTGAACGCATTTGGCCCGCTGCTTCACAGAATTATGGGCTCGATCAATTATCTGATGTTGCTCAATCGTCGCAGCGACATTCGCGATTGTATACAACAAATGGAAGCGGATTGGCGACTCGTTGGGAGAAACGACGATCGTGAGATGATGTTACAACAGGCCAGATTGGGCCGTCTTATTGCCTTAATCGCGGGAATAATTATGCAAGGCGGCACTTTACTCTACAGTATAGCCAAAGCAATGAAAACTGTCACCATAGTTGTTGATAATGAGACGTTGACGATGTATCCGATGACATGTCCATCTTACCGAAAGATTATCGATACAAGGTTCAGCCCTACGAACGAATTCGTGCTGGTTGTACAATTCATGTCGACGTTTATAGTTGGTTCTTCTATAGTAGGTGTTTGCAGCCTGGCTGCTGTCTTTGCGACGCACGCTTGCGGCCAATTAAGCGTGCTATACAAGCGATTAGACGAGCTCGATAAGGAAGACGAGAAAGGGAACTATCTAGCTAAACAAAAAATGGTCGACATCGTAGAACGTCATTTGAGAATCCTAAGGTATTTTCCTTGAAGACTTGAAATAGCCAGTCATCGAGACCTATGTAAAGGAAATTACTAAATAATTATTTATTAAGAATAATTTTATTTTGATTAAAATTTATACAAAATATATTGCTATTGCGTTTAAATATGATATTAAAAAATTGTTTAAACGCAGTTTTTGTTTGTACAAAAAACTTAAACTCATTTTTAACTTGTTCAATTTGTATATATCCTTCTTGCAAAAACTAGATGATATGATATACCTACGTAGTCACTTACGTTTCAGTTTCGTAACGCGCATGGAAAATATTTTCCACAATGCCAGTTTTGTGGAAGTAACGGGAAGCACAATAACGATGTGTTTGCTTGGATATTATTCCATTATGGTAAGCTGATTTTTCAGCTTATTAGCTGCTCCCTTGCTAATTTCTTTTTAATTACGAAAAATATTATAAAATTTATTCAATTACAGGAATTATATAGTAAAAGATATACTTATGTCGTCCTCTTGTACACATAAGACTATTTCAATTTTTCAGAATTGGGCTAATTTTGATGGAGCAAAAATCGCAGCTTACATTATTGTATATGTATCGCAGGGCTTTAATCTTTTTATATTTTGTTATATCGGCGAAATTCTCACAGAACAGGTACCTCATCTCGAAATTAAAATTGTGTCTCTTATATTTCTATTGTAATTTCTAATTGCATTCTAAAATATAATATGGTTGCATTAGTAAAGAAAAATACTTGTTTGATATATTTATCTCAGCAAAATTTTAGCAAAATTGGGTTTTAGGTTCGGATGTAGTACCTCATAACATATTCAAAATTGCCTATCAAACTCTCAAATCTTCGTGAAAATTTTAAAAGATGTTTGTATTTATTTGTTAGTGCAAAAATGTTGGACAAGCGGCATACATGACTAATTGGTACAACTTAAATCAAAGTACTGCACGTGGTCTTGTTTTGGTAATATTACGATCGAGTAAATTGATCAAGATAACTGCGGGAAAATTATTTCAGTTATCTATCGCGACTTTTGGGGACGTAAGTAACTTATGTATATATCATTGTTATAATAATATATATGAATTATAACGATCTGGAGTAATAAAATTGAATTCTTTGATTTTATGTATTATATCGAAATATATACAACATAAATCTGTTTAACTTGAGAGAGAATTTATTATCTGCTGAAAATTAAAAATTTTTTAAATTCTTAATAGTTCAACAGAATCGCTGTATTCTATATAGAAGAAACTGCGTTCTTATTTTAGGTGCTTAGAACTTCCGTGGCATACTTGAATATATTGCGAACTATGACTACATAAAATAAAATGATTTATAGGAAAGAGCAAAATATATTTTGTGAAGAAAAGGTGAATATATATTCTCAAGGTACAATCAACATTGAATAAATAAAATCAAAAACTATTACAGTAGCAGATTTTTTCCTCTATTAAATAATTTTTAAAACGTTGCGCGATATATTTAACAAATGCGATTTGGATATTTGATGCGAAAAATTAAAAAATTAATAGTTATAGGATTGAAATTTGTTTGATGTTACTTCCACGAACCAGCGCTTATAGTTACCACACACACGCCGTCCTCTCGGAATATTGTCAATGTAAGCTTGAGCAAACGATTATTGATCGAGCATGCATACATTTCTATCAGGATGGAGAATACGTTGTAGTACGCGTTCATTAAACTTCCGAAGTTGGCGCAGGCGCCCATTCGAGCCATTAGCAGAATGTACCGTCCTGCTCCGGCATTGCTCGCTGCGACAGTACATCAAGTACTCTCGCGAAGCAATGATGGAAGATCGGAAACTTATGTTGAAAAGTATCGACAATAATAGTGATCACGATTACAGTCTCCAATTGAATCGATGGTATCTCAAGCCGATTGGGGCTTGGCCATTGACAAGTGCGTCGAGCACGACCGAGAAGGTAATGCTGTTAATACAGGTACTCGTTTGTTGGGCGATAGTGTGTTCTATAATGATACCGTGTACGTTATACGTGTTTTTTGAAAATGTGAGCATCCGAGAGAAATTGAGTGCCATTGCTCCACTGCTTAACAGAGTTATGGGCTCTTTCAATTATTTGGTGCTGCTCCAACACAGCGTCAACATTCGCGATTGTATAGAACACATGGGTGCGGATTGGGAGATGATGCAAAAAGCTAATGATCGCGAAGTGATGATGCAGCACGCCAAGTTCGGTCGATTCATTGCCGTGATCTGCGGAGTGATCATGCAGGGTGGTACGTTTCTCTATGGCGTGGCCAAAGCGATGAAAACCGTAACAATCGTTATCGGCAACGAGACCGTCACGATGCACCCGATGACGTGTCCAGCATATAGCAAGATCATCGACACGAGATACGGTCCTGTGAACGAGATCGTGCTGGTTGTACAGATCTTGTCGACATTTGTAGTGAGTTCCGCAACGGTCGGTATTTGCAGTTTAGCCGCTGTCTTTGCAACGCACGCCTCTGGTCAATTGAACGTGCTATACATGCGGTTGGGCGAACTCAGCGAGAATCAAAAAGAGGACATTCATATAGCCGAACAAAGTATGATCAGCATCGTGGAGCATCACCTGAGAGTGTTGAGGTATGTGATTGAAAACAGCATGTTTGAATGCGCAATTTGAATAAGATTAATTTATTATAAAGAAGCTTTTACTTCAAAATGCAAAGATTCTTGTAATTTTAATGGCGAATTAATGACCATTTTCTGAATAATTGGAAGTATTATTCTTCTGGTATTTTACGCTTCCTCGGTATGTAAACATGCTTAATTTAGCTTCCGAGTGGCGCGTTCTTCATGAACATTTCATTTCACGAAACTTCGAAAGTAAGTCTATGAAAGGCATAAAACCGGAAGCTGAATTAAATGGTGTTACTTGTCGTCACTGATGAAAAAATATGAACATGTCTATTAAATCAATAGGCGAGAACCCTATTGCAAAAAAAGATGGCAACATTAAATTTTTCCATATAAATTTCAGTTTTATATCGCGCGTGGAAAATATAATGCATAAGGCCTCTCTCGTGGAATTGACGGGATGTACTATAATTTTGTGTTTACTTGGATATTATATTCTCCTGGTATGTTAAAATGTCGTAAAAAGTGGAAATTTTGTTTTATGTGTTCCACAATTTGTTGTATAAATTATTGTGAAGTACTACGTTATCTTCAATGAATCACGAATTGATTGTCAGAGAAATTAATGTCGAATAGATTATTAACAAATAAATAGGAAATTTTATCTTTTTATGTGGCAAAAAAAGGTCTATATTTTAACGTTTTCAGAATTGGGGTACATTTGATGCAGCACAAATAATATCTTACGTTATAGTATATGTATCCATGGCTTTTAATATTTTTATATTTTGCTACATCGGCGAGATTCTCACCGAAAAGGTATTGCCTCGAAATCAGAACACCGCTCCTTCTAATTTATTTGTGCAACTTCATTGTAAAATATATCGCAATTAAGTTATTACATAAAGATGCAAAAGCGTAACATCTCGTATTTCTACATACGTACTACATTTTATGAAGCCGCATATATTTATTAACATATATCAAATTTTTTAATAATCTAAAGCTGATTAACTAGTACGGTATTTAGACTTAGAAACATTACACTAAAAAAATTTTTAAATGTCCGTGTTAATTTGTCAGTGCAAACATGTCGGTCAAATGGCGTATATGACAAATTGGTATAAATTGAATCCCAAAACTGCACGTGGACTTGTATTAATAATTGCTCAATCGAGTAAAGTGATCAAGATAACCGCAGGAAAGTTATTGCCACTCTCTATTGCAACTTTTGGAGATGTAAGTGATGTGTATATAAATATCAACTTCATTATACCAATCGCTTACAAATTATAACGAACTCATACACCAAGATTTAAATTTTACATATTTATTACTATACCTTCACTGCTATTCATTATATTATAAAGTATTTAATAAACATTTATTTCGTTAATTTAGAATTTTAATATAATTTGATTTACTGTAATTCTCGGTAATCCAACATTTTCTTTATATTGCATATAGAAAAGGATACATTCTTCTTTGCAGGTACTTAGAACTTCCATAGTATATTTGAATATATTGCGAACAATGACTATGTAAAATATAACAAACTATTGAGAAAATGAGCAAAATATATTTTATAACAGAAAACAAATAAATATATTTTGAAGATGCAATGAATATTAATAAATAAAATTAAAAGCCATCATCGAAAAATATTTTCATACACTAAATATTTTTTCAAGAAACCCTGCGATATATTTAATGAATATTTAACGAATATAGTAAGACATCTGGTAAAATAATAATATATAATAAAATCGACATATGCTTCACGTTGCTTACGCAAATCACACAAACAGGACACGTGACGTACTCTCGGACGACTAAAAATGTAATCTCTTAGCGACAAACAACTATCGATCGAATGTGCATGCGTTGTCTCAGGAAAAAGAAATGACGCAAGCGCTTGTACGAATTCAACCATGTCATAATATACCACCCTACTTCGGCACTGTCTGCCGCGGTAGTGCATCGAATGCTTTCGCAACGTGATCATGACAGACACAGTTGTATTAAGAAGTATCGAATTCAAAAGCGATCACGATTACTGTTTTCAACTGAATCGAAGATATCTCAAACCGATCAGCACTTGTCCATTGACCGGCGCGACAAAAGTAGCTGGGAGGGTCAACGTGTTATTACAGAATCTTATTTATTGGTCTATAGTTTGTTTTATAATGATACTGTGTTTTCTATATGTGGTACTTGAGGCAGAGGATAGCCATTCGATGCTGAACGCATTTGACCCGCTGTTTCATTATGGGCTCGATCAATTATCTGATGTTGCTCAATCGTTGCAGCGACATTCGCGATTGTATACAATAAATGGAACCGGATTGGCGACTCGTTGAAAAAATGGACAATCGTTAGATAATGTTACAACAGGCCAGATTGGGCCGTTTTATTGCCTTAATTGCGGGAATAATTATGCAAGGCGGCACATTACAGTAGAGCCAAAGCAATGAAAACTGTCACCATAGTTGTCGATAATGAGACGTTGACGATGTACCCGATGACATGTCCGTCTTAACGGAAGTGTATTGATACGAAGTTCAGCCCTACGAACGAATTCATGCTGGGTGTACAATTCATGTCGACGTTTCTAGTTGGTTCTTCTATAGTAGGTGTTTGCAGCCTGCCTGCTGTCTTCGCGACGCATAACTGCGGCCAATTAAGCGTGCTGTACAAGCGACTAGACGAGCTCGATAAGGAAGACGAGAAAGGGAACTAGGGGACGAAAAAGGGAACTATTTAGCCGATCAAAAAATGGTCGACATCGTAAAACGTCATTTGAGAATACTAAAGTATTTTCCTTGAAACAGCCGGTCATCGGGATCTGTATAGAGGAAACTACTAAAGCATTATTTATTAAAAATAATGTTATTTAGATAAAGATATATACAAAATAGATTGCTATTGCATTTAAATATGATATTAAAAAATTTTTTAAAAGCAGTTTTTGTTTGTTCAAAAAACTTGAACTCATTTTTAACTTGTTCAATTTGTATGTATCCTTCTTGCAAAAACTAGATGATATTATATACCTACATAGTCACTTACGTTTCAGTTTCATAACGCGCATGGAAAATATTTTCCATAACGCCAGTTTTGTGGAAATAACAAGAAGCAAAATAATGGTGTGTTTGCTTGGATATTATTCCATTATGATAAGCTGATTTCTCAGCTTATTAGTTGCTCCCTTGCTAATTTCTTTATAATTATATAAAATATTATAAAATATATTCAGTTACAGAAATTATATAGTAAAAGATATATTTATGTCGTCCTCTTGTACAGATAAGGCTATTTCAATTTTTCAGAATTGAGCTAATTTTGATGAAGCAAAAATAACAGCTTACATTATTGTATCGCAGGGCTTTAATTTTTTTATATTTCGTTATATCGGCGAAATTCTCACAAGATAGGTACCTCGTCTCGAAATTAAAATTGCCTCATATATTTCTACTGTAATTTCTAATTTCATTCCAAAATGTAATATTAATGCATTAGTAAAGAAAAATATTTGTCTCAGTAAAATTTTAGCAAAATTGGATTTTAGGTTCCAATGTAGTACCTCATAACATATTTAAAATTGCCTATCAAACTATCAAACTTTAAAATCATCTTAAAGATTTTAAAAGATGTTTATATTTATTTGTTAGTGCAAAAATGTTAGACAAGCGGCATATATGACTAATTGGCACAACTTAAATCAATTTACTGCACGTGGTCTTGTATTGATAATATTACGACCGAGTAAATTGATCAAGATAACCCCGGGAAAATTATTTCAGTTATCTATTGCGAATTTCGAGACGTAAGTAACTTACATATGTATCATTGTTATAATAATATATATTTAATTATAACGATCCTGAATAATAAAGATAGATTCTTTGACTTTATGTTATTTATTATATTGAAATATATATAACATAAATCTGTTTAACATGAGAGAGAATTTAATATATGCTGACAGATTTAAGATTTTTAAAATTCTCAATAGTTCAACAGAATCGCTGTATTCTATGTAGAAGAAACTACGTTCTTGTTTTATGTGCTTAGAACTTCCGTGGCATATTTGAAAATATTGCAAACTATGACCAAATAAAATATAATGATTTATAGGAAAGAGCAAAATATATTTTGTGAAGAAAAGGAGAATATATATTCTCAAGGAACAATCAACATTGAATGAATAAAATCAAAAACTATTACAGAAGCAGATTTTTTCCTCTATTAAATAATTTTTGAAACATTGCGTGATATATTTAACGAATGCGATTTGGATAATTGTTGCGAAACAATTTAAAAATTAAGTTATTCTATTGAAATTTATTTGTTGTTACTTGCAAGAACCTGCGCTTATAGTTACCACACATACGGTGTCCTCTCGGAATATTGTCAATGTAAGCTTGTGCAAACTATTATTGATCGAGCATGCATACATTTCTCACAGGATGAAAAATACGTTGTAGTACGCGTTCATTAAACTTCCGAAGTTGGCGCAGGCGCCCATTCGAGCCATTAACAGAATGCACCGTCCCGCTCCGGCATTGCTCGCTGCGACAGTACATCGAGTACTCTCGCGAAGCAATCATGGCAGATCGGAAACTTATGCTGAAAAGCATCGAGAGCAAAAGTGGCCACGATTATAGTCTCCAATTGAATCGATGGTATCTCAAGCCGATTGGCGCTTGGCCATTGACAAGCGCGTCGAGCGCGGCTGAGAAGGTAATGGTGTTAATACAGGTTCTCGTTTGCTGGGCGATAGTGTGTTCTATAATGATACCGTGTACGTTATACATGTTTTTTGAAAATGTGAGCATCCGAGTGAAATTGAATGCCCTTGTTCCACTGCTTAACAGAGTTATGGGCTCGTTCAATTATTTGGTGCTGCTCCAACACAGCGTCAACATTCGCGATTGTATAGAACACATGAGTGCGGATTGGGGAATGATGCAAAAAGCTGATGATCGCGAAGTGATGATGCAGCACGCCAAGTTCGGTCGATTCATTGCCGTGATCTGCGGAGTGATCATGCAGGGTGGTTCGTTTCTCTATGGCGTGGCCAAAGCGATGAAAACCGTAACAATCGTTATCGGCAACGAGACCGTCACGATGCACCCGATGACGTGTCCAGCATATAGCAAGATCATCGACATGAGATACAGTCCTGTAAATGAAATTGTGCTGGTTATACAGATCTTGTCGACATTTGTAGTGAGTTTCGCAACGGTCGGTATTTGCAGTTTAGCCGCTGTCCTTGCAACGCACGCCTCTGGTCAATTGAACGTGCTATACATGAGGTTGGACGAACTCAGCAAGAAACAAAAAGAGGGGAATCATATAGACGAACAAAGAATGATCGTCATCGTGGAACATCATCTGAGAGTGTTGAGGTATGTGACTGAAAACAGCCTATTTGAATGCGCAATTTGAATAAGATTAATTTATTATAAAGAAGTTTTACTTCAAAATGTCAAGATTCTTGTAATTTTAATGGCGAATTAATCCCTTAACGCACAGTTTTTTTGAAAAAAACCGGCCAAAAGAATCAATTTTTCTTTATGTAAAAAAATTTTTTTCTTTGCTTTCACATTGTTATTTTCAATTCTCGATTATATTCGAGTGTGAAAAATTATAGCAGCATAAAATACAACGCCGCTCGAATTATCTCGAGTGTGCACAGTTTGGCCTGTTTAGCGCGCTCGAATTAACTTGAGCGTACAAGTTAAGGGGTTAATGACAATTTTCTGAATAATTGGAAGTATTATTTTTCTGGTATTTTACGCTTTCTTGGTGTGTATACATGCTTAATTTAGCTTCAGAGTGGCGCGTTCTTCATAAACATTTCATTTCACGAAATTTCAAAACAAGTCTATGAAGGGCATAAAACCGGAAGCTGAATTAAGTTGTTATTTGTCGTCACCGATGAGAAAATATGAATATGTCTAATAAATTAATAGGCGAGAATCCTGTTGCAAATAGATCGCAACATTAAACTTTCTCATATATATTTCAGTTTTATATCGCGCGTGGAAAATATTATGCATAAGGCCTCTCTCGTCGAACTGACGGGATGTACCATAATTTTGTGTTTACTTGGATATTATATTCTTATGGTACGTTAAAATGTTTTGTAAAAAGGGGAAATTTTGTTTTCCGTATTCCACAAATTGTTATACAAATTATTGTGAAGAACAACGTTATCTTCATTGAATCACGAATTGATTGTCAGAGAAAGTAAATATCGAATAGATTATTAACAAATAAGTAGGAAATTTTATCTTTTTACGTGGCAAAAGAAAGGTCTCTATTTTATTGTTTTCAGAATTGGGGTACATTTGATGCAGCACAAATAACATCTTACGTTATAGTATATGTATCGATGGCTTTTAATATTTTTATATTTTGCTACATCGGCGAAATTATCACCGAAAAGGTATAGCCTCGAAATCAGAATATCATTCCTCCTAATTTATTTGTCCCACTTCATTGTAAAGTACTACGCAATTAAGTTATTACATAAAGATGCAACAGCGTAATATCTCGTATTTCTACATACGTATTCATTTTATGATGCCGCATATATTTATTAATATATTTCAAATCTTTTAATACTCTAAAGCTGATTAACTTGTACGGCACTTAGACTTAGAAACGTTACACTTAGAAAATTTAAAAATGTCCGTGTTAATTTGTCAGTGCAAACGTGTTGGTGAAGTGGCGTATATGACTAATTGGTACAATCTACATCATAAAACGGCGCACGGTCTCGTCTTGATAATCGCACGATCGAGTAACGTGATCAAAATAACTGCAGGAAAATTAATTCAATTATCTATTGCAACTTTCGGCGACGTAAGTACACGAAGAAGGGTGTCCGGAATTTGTGTATTGAGATACTATAGGAAGGAGATTTCAAAAGATAAAGCTAATCGATAAAAATTTCCGCATGTTCGACAAGCGGTAATTTTTCACATAACTTTCTTGTTTTCCAGGTATTTAAGACTTCTCTAGCATATTTGAATATTTTGCGAACGATGACAACATAAAATATAATATTTAAGTTGAGTGCTGTAAAAAACATAGATTTCGGTATAAGTCTGATGAATATATAATGTCAAGATACACACGATAAGTATTCAAAATAATGTGTTGGCACTGGTTCTTCACTCTATGTCAGAATACACGTAGAAGTAGAAGATCGAGAAATAATCAAAGCAAAAGAACCGTCAGAAAAATTGCAGTTATCGACATTATATATCACTTCTATGTTACATATTACATATCACTTATACGTACCCATTTTTACAGTATTTCCATTTCTATAAATCGCACGCAACAAGCGATATTCTCTTACAAAAATAGCAACGTGACGTTCCTCCGAAGAACGAATATTGATTGAATACATTGCGTTCTATCCTTCAGGAAAATTGTCCGCGGTAAACTTCTCGGTGTTAAACTTCTCCTAAGGTTTGCGCAAGCGCTACTGAGAATCTCGCTCTAGCAGGTGCACCGTGGTGTATTGTGGCAGTAACCCGTGCGTCTTCATGAAGGGAACATGTCGAACGTCAAACATGTTCCGAGTAATGCTGATTCAAAGAAACACAACGATTACAGTTTACAGCTGAGCCGATGGTTCCTCATATCGATTGGCGCTTGGCCACAAACACGCACATCCAGCCTAATAGAGAGACTTTCCCCGATAGTACTTATTCCCATGTGGTCATCCGTGGTAGCAATAATTACAATACCGGGTATATTATACGTGTTTCTCGAGGCGAAAGGTATTCAGATGAAACTGAGCCCCCTTGTTCCGCTATTTCACAGGATAATGGGCTTCTTGAATTATTCGATACTACTAGCACGCGGCAAAGCTATTCTTGAATGTATAAAGCACATGGAGGAGGATTGGCGTGTCGTTCAGAAAATAGAGGATTACGAAGTGATGATGAAGCATGCCAAGATGGGTCGTTACATGACCGGGGTCTGTGCGACGTTCATGCAGGGCAGCGCATTTTTATTTAATTTAGCCGCAACAATGAAAACTGTAACACTGGTTATTAATAACGTATCCACCACGATACATCCGTTGTCGTGTCCGGCGTACCGTAAGCTGATAGACGCGAGATTCAGTCCGGCGAATGAAATCATGATTACTATGCAAGTTATGTCGAGCTACATAACGAATTCCTCCACAGTATGTATTTGTAGCCTTGCCATTGTATTCGCGATGCACGCCTCTGGTCAGCTAAGCATGTTGTACACGTGGTTTAACGAACTGATGAAGAATAACGCGAAGCGAAATTGCTCGGTTCAACGAAAATTAGCCAGCATCGTCAAACATCATTTGAGAGTCTTGTGGTAATGTATTTAACCATGGTGTTTTCATTGCACTTTATGGGTGTATCAGCCATTATTTAAAGAAAATGAGATATATTGATTATGTTGCACGATAAATTAAGTGTCTTTCTAAAATGCTACGGAATGTAAATGTCTATTCAGTAAATTTATGTGTACAAGTAGAATGTCGTAAAGATATGCACATCTACAATTAAATATCTTAAAACGTTAAAACTAAAGAGATGTGTTTCAGTTTTATAACACGTATGGAGAATAT